GCTGGCCAAGTGTGGGTTGGCGGACTTCACAAGTCTTTCGAAAAGTAATTAGGTTTTCTTAGACATGCAATTATAGGTTTCCTTGCGGTTTTCTTCACCGTGAGGCAAGTGGCCCCGGGGTTAGAACAAAATTCACTTGGTTCTCCAAGCAAATGCGCTCCCACTGGGCTTCTATTGAAAAAAAAAATTAAAATTATAGATAAATGGAATGCTGTGTTATGGTTTTCATGACAGCCTTCTTGATGTAAAGGCTGCTTATTGTTTACCATATATTAGGTTTCTGAGTAGACAAATTATTTGAGTGAAATCGCTACACTCAAAAACAGCCCAGAAGTGTGAAACTAGGTAACTGGCATTCTAAGACTCTCGTGTGTTGCTACAAGGAAGTACTTGTGAGGATTCAGGCTCCAGTTAGATAATCTTTGCCAAGTTTTGTACAACTTCATGCTACTCTCATTGTAGAGTTTCTTACTTCTAAAGTAGAAATCAAATCTATTAGGAATTTTATCGCTCATATTTTCACTGGTCAATGTATATTCTGTAACATAAGGACGATCATTAGTAACATAACGCTAAGGTATATGAACAACTAGCATTGTCCGCGGCTCCGCCTGCGTGCAGATGACCAAAAACCAAATTCTTAGGTTTTACATATTACTCGTAGTATACTCTTACAATGCAGTTTTGGTATTTTTTTCTCAAAAACGACATATTTTCCCCGCGGTAAAAAGTATCCTATATATATTGACCCGGATAACCAGGTATCACCATACCAAATTTCATCAATTTCCAGTGGTTTTTCTGTGATACGGTAACAGACAGACAGACAAAAATTCTAAAAACTATAGATTCGGCTTTTGTATTGATAATAATGTTTATTTCAATAAGATTGTCCAATATATGTATATATATTATATATATATATATATATATTTGCTTTCATCAGCGTAAGCTTCATTCAATACCCACGTTGATAATTGTGTCAGTATTAAAATGAAAATTATTTAGCAAATTCTGATATTATCAATACACGATATTGTACATTGTCATAGAGACGTGTTTGGAAAATATGATCTCATTATACCAACAAATAGTAGGATATTGTATCAGAATTACATTTGCAGGTGTTGCTAAATGATTTCATTTAACTGTTTAAAGAATTTTGTTAATCTATGTATAATACTCGTAGATATACTAGGTAGCTTTTTGTAGGTATCCCCTCTTTGCTTAGGTGTATCCTTAGATGGCTAACTGTTGCCTATGTGTTAGTTTACATCCAGGTCTTAGAATACATACACACACCACACACACAAAGTCGAAGATGCAGATGAAGATGAAGATATACCTATAGCATCAATTTCGTAGTTTATATTATTGCCGAGATGATAATAAAATCAAATAACCTAACCTATCCTATATATAATACGCCTAGTACCCAATAAATAAAAATTATATTGGAAGTGGTTAAACGCAGAGAGCGCTTATAACTTGTTTGCTTTGTAGAGATCGGGAATATTAAAAATATGCATCAATCAGCTCTTAATGTCATATAAAATTTTATGAGAAATAAAATGAACTATTGTTCTAACACAGGGACTTGAAAGTTGAGTAGATTGTGTTTGGATGAAAAAAACTTAAATTAGAGACAAAATGAGGTAAAGAATAAAATCATATAATTATATATATATACTAGCAAACCCGCGGCTTCGCCTGCGTTCAATCTACAAAAAAATTCTTTGACTTTATGGGTTAATTTATGTATTTATACAATATAAATAGTTTTACAATAATATACGGAAGTCTAATCTAATTTGTTGATATTTATGATTACTGCTCCGCTCCCTTGGGTTGTAGCATGATGATATATAGCCTATAGCCTTCCTCAATAAACGGGCTATCTAATGCAAAAAGTTTTTTTTCAAATCGGATTAGTAGTTCCCGAGATTAGCACGATCAAACAAATAAATAAACGAACAAATAAACTCTGCCTTTTCATAATATTAGTATAGATATTAATGTCTATAGCAGCATGCGAATTAAGAAAAAAAAAAGAAAATTTGCGTGTTAAAGAGTTATTGTGCTGTCAAGAAATTTTAGAAGATAGCACACCTTGAGAATGAAGTCATCCATTTTGAACACTATTGTATATGTTGAATATTAATATTTGTATTGGTTTTTTATTTTATTTTTTAAATAAAAATTGACTTCTGCTAATTTTTGGTCTTTTCTTCTCAAAACAGAAGTATTTTTGCAAGATTCTGGTTGCGTTTTCGATAATAATTATCAAAATAATAATTATTAAATTAATTTTAATAGAATATCTGGCATTTTAAACAAACAGTGCCTACCCACAATTTTACTAGGGCAGGCACTGTCTGTAAAAGTATATAATGACTTTTAACTTTTAAGACGTCTAAAACCTTAATCTCTCCCGTGACCAAGATTCCTGTAAAGCATTCAAAACGTAATTTAAAAATCAAAATAAATCCGCGAAAAAATCCGAATAGATAGTTTATTTAAAATAATTTTAAATTTTAAATTCAAGTTACTTTTGATTATATTATACCAAAATAGTTAAAAAGTTAAGTATAAATATTATTACAAAGTTTACTAATTCAAAAAGTTTCTAAATATTTCCCAGAAACATAATTCTCAAAACCTCAACGAAATTCTAAAACCAGTTACCAAAATGATGTTTGAAATCAGAAATACTTGCCCTATTATTAGAATAAATTTACCACTTGCGTAATGAATACAATTTGGTTCTACGTTTCGAAAACATACGATGAAATAAATATTGTGTACGCAGAGTTCGTTCAGTGGATATAAACCTTTCATATAATTTACTGCTTTATATTTACCACTGATCACTATATATTATAAAATAAAGTCCCCCGTAGCATCTGTATGTCTGTCTGAATGAGATAAACTCAAAAACTACCAAATGGATTTTCATACAGTTTTCACCAATAGATGGAGTGATTCATGAAGAAGTTTTAGGTGTATAATTTATTAAGATTTTGTATAAATTGGCTGAAATATATCGATAATTGTTGAAGATGTCGGAAAGATAATGCCGACTGGAAGCTTTATTAGCGTGCACCGCGTAAAAATAAAGGTATATGATGAATTAATAAAGGTATATGAAGACAATGTATAACAGAATTATTCCTCTTAAAAAGATTTTCCTATTAAACTGTAGCAACGCTATGTGGACGTACCTAGAGTCGCAAATAGGGACGAAATCACTTCAAGATGTAGGTTGTGAACATATGTTTTGCTTTTGAATAATAATTTAAAAGCAAAATAATATGTTCACAACCTTATCTTATCAATATCTTGAAGTAATTTTGTAATTTGGAACGAACTTTCTTATTGCTTTTTATATTCGGCACACTTGGAGAATGAAAGATTGACAAAAAAAGAGTAATATTTCGACCGTCACGACACTTTATTTTTAATACTTTCTTATAATACTTTCTTAGATTTACGCGAATATTTGATATCATACTTTATTTTTTACTAAGAACACCCCGTGTGACGTCATCATAACTACCAGGTGATCATAAGTGTTAATTGTTTGTACTAAGTAGTTCGTATACGCTCTTATGACGGGGTCTCCAATTACGTGTATAATAGGCATTCCTTGAGGTTTGTGGTCCCCTAGTACTCGTGACAGTTATTGTCATCAGGTACATTGTAACAGGTGTCCCGTGACACCTCTCGACTTTTTTTTATAATTTCAAAGTATATATATATATATATATATATATATATATATATATATATCATGAGGGTAACATAACGAGTGAATGTATCAGGAAGGAAATCTATCTATCTCTAGCAATGATGTAGGAAAAATGAATGAAGAATTCAGTTAAATTCAAAAAACAAAAACAGTTTTGATTTATACAATTTTTATAAAACACCATGACTCTAACCAGTTCTGTAAGAGAAATCGTCGATTCTATGAACTTAAAACTTTTTTTTTTGGAAAATTATCTTTAATTAAATACAATCCATTACAAAATCCATTAACCCTAACCTTTTTTTTTTACTTTTTTATTATATTTAACAGCTATTTTAGCAAAAGCTTTTTCACATAAATAATAAATGTGAGAGAAATATTTTACATAATTATTAGTCATCAATAAGTGTCTGATACGATAAAAGGAAAATGGAATGAAAATATACGTACCAAAATTATTTTATCAGAATTAAAAATTAAAATGCTTAGAGACCCTGACTAAACTCTAAAATTAAAGTTAAAATAGCAATGTGTTGGCGTTTCATTTTCTTATGAACAAAACAATTTATTTACACAATCTTTACTTATGGGATGACTTCTCATATATAAGAAGAATAATTGTTTTTGAATCGAATAAATTTTAGAGAATGAGAAACTTTTATATGTTTAATGATTTTTATTTGTTTATAATAATTTAAGAACCTGGCAAGTTTTTGAAAGACATGTAAAGTCCGTCAACTCGCACTTCGCCAACGTGGTGAAAAATGGCTTGATCCCCCTCGTATTGAAGGGAAGCTCATGACCAACAGTGGCACGTTAAAAAGTAATAGATTTTCACATTTATTATATTAGTGTTGTATTTTTTTTATTTTGGCTTTTAATTTTCGGCGAAAAGAAAAAACTATTTTACAACCTCCAAATTAATAAATCTATTAAAATAATATTAACTTATATGTCTATAATTAAATTTAAAAAAAAACTACCCGACTGCGTAAAAACTAAAAAGCGGACTAAAAAGATGGGAACAAGTTGAAGAAGAAAAATAGCACATACAGACGGTCGGAGACATACATACATATTTTAAACTTGCTGCAAATGTGCAGTGTCCATTGTATTTATTTTTAGACATTGAAAAAATAATTGAGTAATATATATTTTTTTTGGTTTCAGGTACATACATTAAAAGGAATACCAAAGGAACAAATAAGTTTTCAAACAAGTCGATGATTGTAATCTGCTAATTTCTACCAACATGGAATCTACGGAAGACGAGTTTTATAGCATATGCGTTAACTTGACAAGTGAAGAAATTGCCAGTGTTGGAGGCTGTAATTATAGTACAGAATATGAAAATGGAGAACTTCTCGAAAAGGTCGTATCCAGAGTTGTTCCAATTTTTTTCGGATTTATTGGAATTGTTGGACTAGTTGGAAATGCATTGGTAGTACTTGTAGTCGCTGCAAATCCTGGAATGCGATCAACCACTAATTTATTAATAATCAATTTAGCCGTTGCTGACTTGCTCTTCGTTATTTTCTGTGTCCCCTTCACTGCAACTGACTATGTAATGCCAAGATGGCCCTTTGGAGATTGGTGGTGTAAAGTTGTTCAATACTTCATCGTCGTCACAGCACATGCGTCTGTCTACACGCTTGTTCTAATGTCATTGGACAGGTTTATGGCTGTGGTCCACCCAATAACCTCAATGTCTATAAGAACAGAAAAAAATGCGCTTTTAGCTATAGCCTGTATATGGGTGGTAATCCTTACCACAGCAATACCAGTAGGAATATGTCATGGTGAAAGAGAATATTCTTATTTTCATAGAAACCATTCCTCTTGTGTATTTTTGGAGGAACAGGGATATAGCAAGTTGGGTTTCCAAATGTCCTTCTTTTTATCATCATATGTGATACCGTTAGCGCTTATCAGTGTGCTTTATATGTGCATGCTCTCAAGACTATGGAAGAGTGCCCCTGGTGGGAGGGTATCGGCCGAGAGCCGAAGGGGAAGAAAAAAAGTTACGAGGATGGTTGTGGTCGTCGTAGTTGTGTTCGCAGTGTGCTGGTGTCCCATACAGGTAATTTAAAGTATAGTTCAAAAAGCATTCGATTCCTATTAACGTTAGGTAGGTTATATAACTCATCTTGAATTCTATTGAATTATTTAATACGCCACATTTCTAATAGGCCACATCATATTATTGAAAATTTCTAAATAAGGATGCTCCGAAATTAATCAAGTATTGAAATGCCAACATTGCCAAATAGCTCAATATCATTTGGAGATGAATAAGGATATTTCAATTAAGCAAACTTTTCTAAGCGGCGCTGTATCTTCATATTTCGTCTCAACAAAGGAAAGATAAATAGCATTATGCCCAGCCCCAACATCTTGTACACTTCATTGGCCTAAATAGACATGACCGTGTTGAACATGATGTACATGATGTACATGTTCAAATGAGATACCTGTGGTAGTTTACTCACGGACATATTAACATTTAATATAAATTTTTAAATTGTAAAATTTCAAAGTGCTCAAATATATAGTGTATATATTGCCCGCGGCTCCACCCGCGTTCAGATGACCAAAAACCAAATTCTTAGGTTTTACATATTAGTATACTCTTACATTGCAGTTTTTATATATTTTCTTAGAAATGGGATATTTTCCCGCGGTAAATAGTATCCTATAGTTGACCCGGATAACCAGCTATCACCATACCAAATTTCATCCAAATCCCTCCAGTGGTTTTTCCGTGATGCGGTAACAGACAGACAGACAGACAGGCATGTTTTTTTTTCAATAAGATTTTCCAAAAAATATTTAATGTACAGATTCGGCTTAGTTAGAATTTTATTATATGTATAGATTTGATGTGCTGATATCGCTTTAAAATAAATTACAGGGTGAATTGATGGAATCAATTGAGGCGATAAATATGGGAGGTGGACCGTTGCAATAAATAAAGTAAATTAATGATGCAGCAGAAACACTGTTCTTGTAACAGTTTTTACTGTTTAAGACATAAGATTAAGCGTTTTTCGTTGTGACAATTGACACTCTATCGATAGATATAATAGAATTGAAAAATGACGATGATTATTTGATTTAAACGACATTTAGCTCTTTATCGATATTTCCAACAACTGATAGCAAACAAAGTATTCATTTAAGTAACATTATTACCATTTGTACGTTCTATGTAAAAATTACTAAACTTCATTAAAATTAACATAGAACCTTGTAATAGTAAGCCAACGATTATGTTATCCTCAAATTTTCAATCATGCTTATTGTCGAATTTCTGTCACTAGACAAACACTTGTTAAAGCTAGTAACAGCTTTATACTTGATGCTAAGCCCATAACTTCAACTAGACCCTGTTTTTTTTTCAATAAGATTTTCCAAAAAATATTTTAAGTGCAGATTCGGCTTAGTTACAATTTTATTATATGTATGGATTTTCATCAAAGTTTACGACGTTCTCATACACTCGGACATATGGATCAGGACATCGTGTTTTGGTTTCCAAACACTGCCCGGATTTGAGTGTGTTTGACGCAGATATTGGAAAGTTAATCAAGAACTTCCTAATCAATAATAACTAATAACACGTGTAGTTTGTGATATCGTGTATTAAGTCTTGGATATATTAAAAAATAGTATATATTAAAAACTAACTACTACAAACGGCTCTGCCCATATATTTTGGATTTGTATTTAATTTACAATTTATATCACACTAGCGATTCATCCTCGCTCCGCTCGGGTTCATCCCTACGTTTAAACGTTTAGTATAGATTTCTCAGAAATGAGATATTTTACCTCAGTAAAAAGTATGCTATATATTGACCCGGATAACCAGCTATCATCATACCAAATTTCATCAAAATCCGTGCATTGGTTTTCTCGTGTTCTCGTGATGCGTTCACAAACAGACCAACAGACAAAAATTGTTAAACTATAGACAAAAAACAAAAAAAAACTCTCGGTAGATAAAAATGACTATTTCAATAAGATTTTCCAAAAAATATGTAATATTAAACTCAGAATTTTATTATATGTACGAGTATAGATAATACTCTCTTCAATTCAATTGTTTTCTCCCCATTTGCCTACAATTTACCAATGTCGCGTAGAATGGAGAAGACATATTTTATGACCGGTAAAAAAGAAAAAATCCCTAGGTCTGATATAATTATTGAAAATGAGTTCATGATACTTTTTAGATTTACGTAAATATTTGATATTTTAAAGCATTTAATTGAATTTTTTTGCGTATATTTTTTTTAAATAGGTATATAATACGTAAGTTTAAAAGCGCCATGATTTTTCTTCCAAATTATCGTATAATTTTGTAGGTAGACACCATCTGGTATAAATATGACTTTTGAGACATCAAAAACATTAATCTCTCCCGTGACTATGTTTGTTGTAAAGCATTCGAGAAGTTATCGGGAACAGAAAATAATCAAAATAAAATCGCGACAATATTCGAAAAGATAGTTTTATTTACAATAATACCAAGTCTTCAGATACATAGACATGTAGAACTTATGCTCAAGTTTAAAGCTTATTGATCGAATTAGAAAAAAAGGAATAATTGCTCAATTTCCATTGGTCAATTTTCCAGACCCAAGGATTCAATGACCAATAAAAAACGTGTTATTGTACCACGCAATGGGAAGAATAGTCAAGGTTCTCCATATTAGTATACTTTTTAACTGAGAGGGATCATTCAACACGAAGGAGACATAGTTCACTAAAAATAAGTTAGCGAATATTTTAAAAAATCTATCTTTTTGGATTTTTGGTTCTAGTAGTCTGGTAGGCTGTCTATAACAACTATACCTTGGAGACATCTAACACCCCAGTCTCTCCCGTGACCATGAATGCTGTAAAGCATTCGAAACGTCGGGAACCAAAAATCCAAATAAACCCGCAAGAAAATCCGAAAAGATAGTTTTATTTAAAATGTCCAATATTCGCGTAAATCTAAGAAAATATTAAGTTAGCGAACTTCATTTTCCTTTCAATAATTGATTTAGTTTTCTCAGACAGTCACGTCTCCTCAAGATGTTTCACCTCACCGTATGGCGAGTATATAATCAAATAACTTCCAGATGTGAGATGAGTTTGAACCTGCTTCTCTTGGTTTTTCAAGCGAGTTAGTTACCACTACACCACTAAACATATACTCGTAGGCATCGTATTTGCCACTTCATATTCACAATAGATATTATAATTATCATGTTGAGAGTTCATTCCAATTTATTGATAGTATTAGGTCAATTGATTGATTTAAATAATTTAGAGTAATTGGAATTTATTTGTTCGATCATTTGTTTTTATTTGAAGCGACCTCAATTTCCACTAGCAGTTTTCAACCGTGACAGTGACTATTTTAAATGTAAGAGCATAACACTATATTGTGTTATTACATATTTTGACGACACGTTTGGCTCAGTTTGTAGCGACCCTACTTGCTGTGCCAGTGGTCGCGGGTTCGAGTCCCGCTGAGGGCATTCATTTGTGTGATGAGCACGATATTTGTACTCTAGTCATGAGTGTTTATATTTATAATACGTATGTATTTAAAGTTATATAATATGTGTAGTGTATCAACTATCTGGTATCCATAACACAATCGTCGTAGCTCACCATGGAACTAGATGGTGTTGAGTGTTAATGTCCCAACATATTTATATTATTATTTATTATTATATGTCTGTATGAGTGTGTGCGTGTACGAATGCGCGCGCGTCCCCGTGTGTGTGTGTCTGTGTGTGTGTGTGTGTGTGTGTGTGTGTGTGTGTGTGTGTGTGTGTGTGTGTGTGTGTGTGTGTGTGTGTGTGTGTGTGTGTGTGTGTGTGTGTGTTGTGTGTGTGTGTGTGTGTGTGTGTGTGTGTGTGTGGTGTGTGTGTGTGTGTGTGTGTGTGTGTGTGTGTGTGTGTGTGTGTGTGTGTGTGTGTGTGTGTGTGTGTGTGTGTGTGTGTGTGTGTGTGTGTGTGTGTGTGTGTGTGTGTGTGTGTGTGTGTGTGTGTGTGTGTGTGTGTGTGTGTGTGTGTGTGTGTGTGTGTGTGTGTGCTAGTGCGTGTATGTGCGTATGTATGCATTTTTGTTACTCCATAACACTGAAAGCTCTCTCGGCTGGACAAATTTGTACAAAATATTGTAAATAGAGAAACTGGAGAAACACATATTATATTTGATACATAAGGCACTACGCACATGCCAGAGCGAAGTAAGGGTTACTCGACAGAAATATACATAAAACTTACACGGTATCCGTTTATTTTATTTTTTCTATCCCAATAAAGATAGAATCCTGTTATATAATGAGTCGCCCACAAGGGACGAAATTAGTGACGAACCCTTTTATTTATAGCTCAATAAAAGTTGCAAAATGTCAAACCCAGATTTTCACGTGTCCCACAATGAAGTGACTAACAAATTGAAATTGTCTACTATTATTTAAACACCAGCTTTGAAAGAAAACCTTTAGGTTATTTACTGTGGAAAATTATATTTACCTAACTGCTCCAAAGCGATGGTAATGTGTTTTGAGTGCACGTATGCGTTTATATATATATATATATATATATATATATATATATATACTTATAAGAAACAAAATTTTTTTTTTAATTTTGTCTGTCTGTTTGTTCCGGCTAATCTCCAAAACGGCTGGACCGATTTTGACAGGCCTTTCATTGGCAGTTAGTTAATGTTATAAGGAGTAACTTTGGTTACTTTAATTTTAGAATTAGAATTAGGATTCCAGGCAAAAAAAAATAAAACCCAGGATATTGTGAACAAAATACGCGTACCTAGGGACGCACCCAAGCAAAGCGAGGGTTTGTCGTTAGTAAATAATAGTATCTATAATACAATATATTTCTAATAATATATCATGTATCCTTTCTTGTGATCGAGCAATACTAATATTTTACATTGATTCCCCATACACACTTTTATCCCCATTTTCACCCCCTTAAGGGATGATTTCCAGGATGAAAAGTATCCTATGTCCTTCCCAGGGTCTCAAACTATCGTCTTACCAAATTTCATCTAAATCGGTTCAGTAGATCCAGAGATTACCCCCTACAACGTCACAAACTCACAAACTTTACCTATTTTTAATATTAGTATAGATTAAAATATTGATGCGCATTTTTTTAATAAATTCACGCATATGCTATAGGTTTTAAGAATAGATAAAATTGTAATCCCAGTTTTAATAATACATTAATTTCAAGCTCTAAAGCTAGTTTACGCCTAATTTAGTTGATCCTAAATATATGCAAAGTGATAAGTTTTGATAAAACAATATTAATATTTGCGGTGAGTACTAAGCTCAATATTTTCGATAAAAACCAACAAAGTGGAAGCATTTAGGATTGGTTTTTTTTCAAACATACGAAAATATGTACGGATTGGATCAGTGGCGTGGATATGCATTTATCTTATGTACTACTTTATTTTTGTAATCGGATAAATCAATTTTAGATAGAGTAGGTAGAGTTTTGGGAAAGAAAAATTTGCGTTCTGTTAAGAGGAAAAGATAAATTTTGTGGTATTCAGGATAGAGGAACATGAATAATAATCTTAAATTTGATGTGTCTGAATTTTTCAAATTTTATAATGTACTAGCGATTCACCCTCACTTCACTCGGGTTCGTCCCTAGGAGCGTTTTAACGGTTTTACGTAATAGATAGACTATAAATATACTGTATAACATATAGCCTATAGCCTTCCTCAATAAAATGGCCATCTAATGCAAAAATAAATTTTCAAATCGAATTAGTAGTTCCTGAGATTAGCGCGTTCAAACAGACAAACTTTGCCTCTTTATAATATTAGTATATAATATATATAGGTAATATTTATATTGTAAATGTGAAAGTAACTTTGTGTGTTACCTTTTGACCCCTGCCCTACTTCTCACTCGAGCGAAGTCGCGGGACAAATCTAGTCTATATAAAAAAGCTAAATTACTATTTTTATTTATTACTAGCGATAGCTTAGATTGCTTTTTCCCATACAAACTTTCATCCCCATTTTCATCCCTTTAAGGATTGATCTCTGAGATAAAAATTATCCTATGTCCTTCCTAGGATATCAAACTATATTCTTAGCAAATTTAATTTAAATCGGTTAAGTATATCCAGAGATTACCAAACTCACACACGTACCTTTTTATAATATTAGTATAGATTTCGAGGTTTTACTATAGTTTTAATTCTTTTTTCCCGAAGCTTCAAATTACGTATTTTACACGTAACGTCTCAAGTCATATTTATTACAGACGGTGTCTATCCACAAAATTATACAATTATTAGACCAAAAAGATAAGTAACGAAGTACCTTACAATATAATAAACTTTAATAAATAATTTTAATTGGAATTGCTATAGTAACGCAATTTGAAATTATTCAATATGGGATTCTATTACTTTGATCCTTATAGTTTAACCAATTGTTCTCAAGATTGAGACATTTTATTTCCCCACAAATATTCCTCGTGACTTTTCCATTCTACGTGACATTGGCGAAGTAATTTATGCTCAACTGACAATTAATTGTACGTTAAAAATTGCCATCAACAAGCAAAATTGAATTGAATTGGGACATTTTATTTCTTAACTAGTAGTAGACTAAGAAGCTGTACGTAAAAATTGTTACAATTTATTAGATTAAAATTTTAGTTTAATCTATACATACATATAATAAAATTCTAAGTCGAATATGTACATAAAATATTTTTTGGAAATCTTATTGAAATATTCATTATTATGTTACAGAGATCTTATCTATAGTTTTTTTAAATTTTGTCTGTTTGTCTGGGCATCACAAGAAAACTACTGGACAGATTTTGATGAAATTTGGTATGATAATAGCTGTTTATCCGGGTCAACATATATGATACTTTTTACTGCGGAAAGATATCTCATTGCCGAAAAATCTATACTAGATATTAAAATATAATTAGCTAGTATCGGTAGTTCCTTGATAAGTTTCATACATACATATATTTGTTTCAGATAATCCTGCTAGTGAAGGCATTAGACGCCTACAACATCACCTACTTCACCGTGACCGCTCAGATCGTTTCGCACGTGCTGGCCTACATGAATAGTTGCGTCAATCCTGTACTTTATGCCTTCCTGTCGGAGAACTTCAGGGTCGCATTCAGAAAGGTAATTTGTGCTTCTATAAATATCAGTAGATACCACTAGATATTATAAGATATTTCTTTGTTTGTATGTTTTCAATATGAGATAAAAATAGTTATCTTTGTATATATGTATGTATGGATGAGTTTTATATGTGCAATTGAAGAGAGGTCCGTGCCCAGCAGTGGGACGTTAATAAAAAAGGGCTGATACATTACCTAAAAATATGGCCTAATAAAATATAATACCTAAAAAAATTAATGTTATAAATATAATAATACGTGTAAAATAAATACTAAAATAAAGAAAATATAGTAGAAATTATTTATTATTAGTAGAAATGCGAGGTCTAAGAAGCTGATGAGGAGAAAATAAGGGTTTAACTTGAATGTACGTTTGTATTATCAGTAGACACTTCATATACTTTTTTGTAAATATTGATATATACTCACTTTCTTTAACATAACTAATATGATATAAGTATTCCCACATAAGCAGTCCCAGCGCCCACGAACATAAGCATAGAAATCCATAAAATATTAAACCTGTAAATGTTGATTTTCAAACTAGCATCAACAAACAACAAATTTTCTATAGTGAAGATAATTTTGTTTTGAAAAACACAATATATAAAATTAGCTAGTATAAAAAATTCATAAATCTTTTATTACAAGAACGTTCCGCGGCATTCTAACTTTATAAATATCATAGAATCGTAAAACATCAAATGAATATTTCACACCAAGTCATTGAAAATTAATAACTTAAAAGCTTTAGATCATTATACTGTCTGGCCACAATTTCGCCAACTTTATCAAAATTTCTTTAGAATTTGCCCGAAGAATTTTAAATGTAGCTGGGTCTTCTATTATGGACTAGTGAGTAACCCTCGCTTTGCACGGATGTGGCCTTACGTACAAATAATTATATATATGTACCTCAGTCGGTATGATTTTTTTCCAACATCTTTAACAATCATTGTCATAATGCAGGTGATTTACAAAAAATCTTAATAAATTCAGTCAATCCTAATAGGTTCCTTATTAATCATTCCGTCTATTTGCAAAAACCGTGTGAAAATCCGTTCAGTAGTTCACCAATTTGGGATAGAACTATACCTCCATAACTGCCTCGGTGGTGTAATGGCTAGCATGTACGGCTGCACATCCGAAGGTCCTGGGTTCGAGTGCTATCTATATGTAAATAGACAGATAGAACAGTTCGGTACTCTTTCTTCTCTGTTTGGTTGCTATCGACGAGCTTTAATGTTACCTTGTTATTTTTTGAAAAAGTACTTATCTTTTTTATATGGATAGGTAAATTCTATTCATATCTTATGTTTTCCTCAAATGTGCTACATGGATATCTACTGGGCGATCACTATATTATATTAACGGTTAGTATGGAATAGATAGAATATATACTATATGATATATAGCCAGGAGCCTTCCTTAATAAACGGGCTATCTAATGCAAAAAGATTTTTTAAAATGGGATTAGTAGTTCCTGAGATTAACGCAAACAAACAAACAAAACGTCTACCTCTTTATAATATTAGTATAGATATATAGATATTTTATTAGACTGTCTGTGATATCGTATTGTTTATTCAAGTCTAGTTTTATTTGCCCTAATCCGGACTGGTCTTAAGTTATTACGTGACAACGGATCTTTTTACCTATTAATGTTTACTAACGTGGGGGTACGACTGTTTCCAAGTGATATCTAACCAATCGTTGGCATAACAGTCTTGAGTGTAAATATTGAAATATATTTTAAAAGCCCTTTTATTTTAGTTATATCTACAAAAAAAATGGCTTTTTGTTGTTAGAAAATTAAATTGGAATGCGGACACTTCACAGATTAACTATTTATATTTAACATATTCATCCCACATGTATAGATAAATATAGCATATATAAATCTAGTACAGAATTGCGTAGTAAAATATTCTAGATATTGTTCCAGGATATGGTAAAAGACTTGTCGCCTAACAGCTGGATAACAAAAAAAAATAACATTTCATTTAATTTGTATGTTATTGGTATATGAAATTCAAAGAAATAGCTTTTAAGATAACATATCTTCATGTATTCCTTATAAATCACAGCAACTCAACACGACTTGTAATAAACTATAGAATTGGATATAACAAAAGTTTCGCAACATAATTAAACTTATAAAAGTTGTATATATACATAAATCTGATACGTGCTTAATAAAAATTCTTAACTTTCAACTTTAAGCATATTGCGAAGTGATCACTATTGGCTTTTCTTTTAGCTGTAGTGTATATATTTATATCAAACTAGTACTATATCTCAATATAAATAGTTCTTGCGAGTGTACCTAAGGAGAAAGTCTTCTGCTATTGCAGATTTGTCTCTAGGCCTTATTAAGACCTACAATTTTCTAATACATTGTTTTGATGTATTTCTTAAGGTTTAGTAAGCGTTAGACATGTAAATTGCTAAGAACGACTCGATAGAATCAGTTTTAATTTTTTTTCTATGAGAATGTAAAATTTTCTTGTAGTAAAAGGTATAATAAATGTTGACTCGAATAATAAGATATCACTACACCAATTTTAGTGAAAATCTGTTAAGTACTTTGCGTGAAACGCGCACATCCAAACAGACAAACATACAATTTTTTTAGTAACTATCGCTTGGGGTCTATGTACAGATTTCATAAAGTTTTTATTTTATTATATGTATAGATCTAGAATTACAAATAATTTATGCAATGTATTGTGTAGTTTGATTAAAATATTCAGTAACACTCCGTCCACGCTTCGCTGCGGTGATAATTTATCATTTATAAGATAATTTATCTCGTCGTTATAGTCAAGATGAAACATACACATTTACATTCGTATTTATAATATTAGGGTACCGATAATAAGGTTATATATGTATATTTTTAAACCTCACAGTTTTTGTTTCGTTGTGCACAATCGGACTGGACGAGAAAGGCGAAATTTTTTATATGTATGTTCACTAGGCTGGACTGATTTAGATGAAATTTAGTACACAGATAGGAACGACAATTTGACACGATCTGTGAAATATCAGGCGCATGACCGACGGCTTTGCGTTCTCTCCAAAACGCGAATGAGAAAACGCCAACTTCCCGACTCCGGGTTGTTATTATGAATTTATTAACAGTAAACTCTATAACTAAATCAAAACAAATCAAATCAAAACATACTTTATCCAAATAGACATTTACAAGTACCTTTGATTCGTTAATTTTACATTTTAAATTTAAATTAAATGTCAGTGTAGTTAGTCCATGAGGAATCTAGCACCGGGTCAGAAGGCAGTTCTGCTGACAAGAGCCGGCGAGAAACTCAACAGTTGCTCTTTTAAAATAATATTTGTTTACAATATTGTAATACAATAATTATTTACTTATCTTACGTGAGACTCAATCAGACATTAGTTCCACAGATTGACATCTACAAAGTATTCCGCGTCGGTGTAATATTCTATAACAAAACTTACCTCGACCGTGGACTCGAACTCAGGACCTCTGACTCTGCGACCGTACAATGTATTCAATATCTAGACCACAGAGGCAGATAATAAACACTAAATATTTTTTGACAGCTCAATATCCAGCTTCCATCTGTTTTAGTTCTATGAAATATAACAGAAGTGATAATTAATAATTTATCACAGTCCCGGCGCAAGCGGTATAATTGAAAGAATTCCATAGGGAGAGTTAGAAAAATTACTTGGAAATTGGTAGCAGCAATATAATATAGGTAGAATACGAAAGTTTTTCTGTTTGTTTGTTAGTATTAATTTCTTATTTGATTGTTGATATAAACTGAAAAAACGTAGAGCTTTCAGATTACACGGTTTTCTCCATTTTTATTAAATTTACATTTGACAGATATTGATGCAGTTGCTATAATATATATTATAAAAAAGTGAAGGCGACGACGGTCAAGGATTCGAGTCCCGACATATGTATTATATATTGGGACGGTTTAAATTTTGTTATTAATTATTAATCCTTTAAAGAATAAATTCACAAGAGGTTTTTTTTTGAAAAAAAAATGATTTCGATTGACATTTTAAATAAATAATATAAGAATCTTTTAAATAAATAATGACATTTAAATTTTAAAAATGGCTAACGCTGGCTAATAACTATTTGTATCTATTTAAAACGTACCTAGCGACGAACCCGAGCGAAGTGAGGGTGAGCCGCTAGTATTTTATAAAACTAGTATTGAAATCATAAAGGAGTACTCAGATCCCTATACATCACGAGCACGACACGCGTTTTGCTTTTATAAAACTTTAACAAAGGATAGCGCTAAACAAGCATTATTTATGTGGGTACATTATGATACTTCAAAGAAAAATGTTTAAAAAGAACAAACAAGTGTTCGAATTATTTATAATCGAATATGATTGATGGAATATTCGCTTTCTCTCTCATTTTTATACTTAAAACCAATAGCAAATTGTTGTATAATTTTAGAAATGTTTGAATCTACCGTATGGTATATTTTATAGACGCACAACAGTCGTTTTTGATGTGCCTTTTTTGATAAGATTTTTATAAAAAAAATGTTTTATTGAGCATTATGTTGGATAGAGATTTTTCTTTTGACTTCCCACGGAATGTAGAACAATTGAAATGAATTCAGTAACAAAAGCTACATCTAATTAGTATAAAGTACCTGGGCTACCGAGATTCGCTCGGAGTTTTTGGTCTGAAGGGCAATTTTCTTTTTTTTTTTTAAACTAAAATTTGAACAAATATTTAAAAAAAAACAAAAATTAAAAACTTTGTATGCGATCGAGATCCGAACCTGGACACCTGTAATAGTTGATACACTACACATACATATATAACTTCAAATACATACACATTATAAATATAAACAACACCCATGACTGGAGTACAAACATTCGCACTCATCACACAAAAGAATGCCCCCAGCAGGACTCGTACCCGCGACCGCAAGTACTACTACACTACACTACAAACTGAGCCAAATGTGT